GCCCATTTTTTTTTTTTTTTTATTTTCTTAAGTTCAGTGTATATTATGTTATTAAAAAAAAATTATAATAATTGTACAATCCATACATCTAGCTAAAACAAAATTCAATTTATATATATACTTAAATTTTGTATACCGCTCTAATTAAATTTTGATTTTATAAAAAATTACGCCTGGTAAAATACATCATGTATAATTATACTATTGATCTACACATAATAACACACACCAATATGTATGTTTGTTTAGTGAATATTAATTTATATAGATTTATAATTTAAATCATATAAGAGATTCCACCAGGTGTAGGATCTCAGAAGCCGTTTTTTTCCGAGATAGATGAACCGGTGAGGAATATTAATAGCCACTTTGGATATGGCTGAGTAGATATTTTTCCAATGAATCCAACATATATATGTTTGATCTTTTACAAATTTATTCTAATACAATTGAAACATTTCGGAAAATTAAATAAATAAATGTCAAGATATCAAGGGGTGGTGCCTGTTGGATGAAGGCTATTGGGCGTTTGCCACGTTTCAGTGTTTAGCTTTCGGAGCCATTCCCGTAAAGCCACGTGTACATATGACCGCCATGTTAGCTGAACTTTCCCTGCAATTAACAGTTGAGCTTATCTTTTTGGTTTTTGATATTCTTAGGGTTCGCTTCATATTGAAGGAACTATCTACGTGGAATTTTCATAATTTAAATATTATAATAATCAATTTTCTGCTTAGAAAATGAATTGCTAAGTGGTGAATTCTTTAACTTGCTCCATGTTGGCCCGTGTAAGCCCAATAGTTGTTCCGCACTTGAAACCGGCCCGTTTAAGCCCAATAGTTGTTCTGTACTTGAAACCGGTTCGTTTAAGCCCAATACTTGTTCTGTACTTAAAACCGGCCCGGTTAAGCCCAATAGTATTGTGATTGGTGATTATCCAATTATAAATCTTTTTATTGCTTCAACATAATGTATCAATCAATACCTAATCAAATACGTGTGTCCTTAATTACAACCCCACTAAATATATTTATAGAAACAATATCTAACATGACAAATATAACAGATATACAATATATTTCCATAATTAAATATACAAACAACTCTAGAAGAAATATAAAAATAACTTTATTCTAATTTCTCGTCCTTCTCCAATTGCTCTCTATTGTCTCTATTAGAATTCGTGCTTCAAAACTAGCGATGTGGACACGTCCACTATCTGAACGTTAAACGAGAAACCAAGCACTAAGAGAATGAGTTAGTAGATTTCGCAGATAGATAAATTGACAATCACGAATCCACTATTAGGTGGTGTTTGTAAATGCCTTAAGAAATAAATTATGAGTTTTTTTTCTACACATAATCTATTTTTATGTATTTGCAAAATAATTTTTTGCTTTTGCTTCTCTTAAAATGAGCTGATTTAAGCTATAATTTTAAAAGCACCCATGTATCTGTTATTCTGTTTTTTCTATTTTAGTTAATATTCCAGTTAATTTGCAAACACCCCCAACTTTTAAAAATAATCACTTAATAACAACTTAACTCACAATCACTAACTTCTGTTTTTAAATAAGTTTTTGCAAACACCACCTTAATAATCCCTTCGCCCATAATCTAATTTTGATTTTAGTAAAAGTTAAGACATGTGGACTAATTCATCCACTACTTTTAATAATACCCATTGGTATAAAAATTCAACCTTGAAGAAGAGAAAAAAAAAAAATAAAGGCGACAAATTCAAGAAAAAAGAAATATATATAAAAAAAAAAAAAGGGCCCATAAAACAATATAATGACGAGTGGACGGAGTTTATCACGCCATTCGCGTGACAAGAAAGCGAATGCAGCATCATCATTCACATTTCTCACCACCCAATTTATATGCCGTTACGCAACAACAATAATTCATCACCCCCCACACACAAACTAACTCCTTAATTAATAAGTAAATAGCCACATTATTAATTCAAAAAAAATATATTGATATTATTATATTTATATTACAATATTCCATTATTTACAGAGTGAATATGACCACTAAATAATAAACATGATGACTCATAGCCAACTTCATTTATAATATAATATATAAAGAAACATTAAATAAATAAGACATAATTTTGTACATATTTTGCATTCGCCCCCTTACAAAAAGAGCCGCCCTAATCAAATCTCAATACTAACCCCAACATAGACTTAAAATTACCAATATGCCACACGCCCCTCCTCTCCATCTCATACTTACACCATTAGCAAAGAGGGGCCTTTTTGCTTTTCTTTGGACTACAAAAAAATTATTACATAACACTCCAAACACTCATACTTACAGACAAACACCAAACCTAATTTACACGAGACACTTCGCAACACGACACGACGTATATGTACACTACTAGACAAAATGATCAATAATCGATGATCAATATGATTTCAGTAAAACTCGAAAAATCGATTTATTTCGATTTTTCGAGTAGTTTCTCAAGCCAGTGCGGGGATACTGCTGCTGCAGTTGTTGCGCCTATCCCTGTCCAGGCAATTGAAACCCTCGATTCTCACGGCCGGATTACTACCAAAATTTGCTCGGACACAACCGCCCTTGCGGGCGGAGGAGGGAGAGGGGGTCGCCACCCCCGCCCCCGCCCCCAAGGAGGTGGGAATTGCACGTGGTGAGATGGGGGTGGATTTCACTTCCCCGAATCTCGAGTCTTGAATTAGTGGGTTAGATACTCTGCTCGGCGGAGACCCCGAAAAAAATGGGGGCGACGAGGACATATTAGGGATTGATTGATCGGTGCCACCCTGTAAAAACAAATTAAAGAAAAAAATAAAATCAGACGCCGAAAAATCGTTATAATTAGACTAGACAAATAAAATTGGATTTTGATCAAGTAAATAAAATTACCTCATTGCATAGTAATTAAGAAAATTATTAGTACATAGTATTGATTTTTGGGTAAATGTTTTTATTTAACAAATTTACCATTTTGACTTCTAATTTTCTCTTTATAAATTCGCTAATAGTATGAGGGTAAAATTGGACATTGAAATTTAACTGTGACACTTAATTAACTAGAAAATTAATTAGAAACATAATTAACAATAAACTTATAAAAATAATACCTTTGCTAGGATGATGTCCAATAGTTCATTTCCAGCTTTGGCATCGAAAACCTCTTGGTGAAGGCTGTTTAATCATGAATAAAAATATTAAAGAATAAATAAATTAATTAATAGATTTATTAATAAGAAACCCGAATTATTAAAATATAATTAAAAAAAAATTGAACAATAATTACCTAGCATGCCATCGCAAGGGTCTCACATAGGAAGGGTCGTTAAGGGTGGACTGAAGCAGGCCGAGCCGCCGTGGCTTGGGGCAGACCACCGTCTCTTTCATATCAACAGATCTAAAAGCGGCGGCGGCGCCGCCGCCCCTCATCTCTTCACAGGCGGCGAAACTGTTCTGCTGAATCGCGTAGTGCTTCATTTCTCTAACTCTTGGAATTTGTTTAATTATATTAATAGTAAATAAAAATACCTGCTGGTTTCAAGAAAGTGGAATCTTGTTACAAAATTAAATTGCAGGGAAAATAGGTGCAGATCTCATATGCAAAATAAACATGCATACAATTTGAATTATGAATCACATAAATATGTTGGGTTTACTTTTATATTAAGGTGAGATCCGGTCAAAGCGAGCTCTAGATTAGTACACACACAGTCGGCTGTAATTGTTTGGACTTTGTTCCGTCCGACTAAAACAAATAAAAAAATAATATATTTATATATATTTTATAAAAGATATTGTTTAATAAAATAGTTTGAGAAGAAAACTATAGAGATCTGTTGGAAAAATCGAAACTTTCGTTGTTTAGCTTCCTGGATTGTTATTACTACAACCCATAACTTCTAAAAAATAATAAATAAATAAAAAATCATGTGACTGCACAGATTACTATAATAGTGTGACAAAAAATTTAAAATCTTGAAATTTCCGAAGATAAACTGGCAAATTGGCAAGTTTTCAGCTGACAAACACACACAGTCACACACTTTTTCTTCAGATCTACTCATAAATTCATGAAAACAAAACAAAACAAAACAAAACAAGAAAATTAAAGATTCAAACTTTATTTACCAAACAAGGGACTCCCTTAATCTTCAAAAGAACCCACTAAAAGAATTAATTAAATTTCAAGAAAAAGATTGGATTTTTTTTTTTTTTTTTTTTTTTTTTGCAGAGAGACTACTAACCAACGGTAACTTCCCAACTAGAACAGAAAGCTGTAATAGAAATAAGAAGAAAAGAGGTGTGGAATTAAGTGAGGAGATTGATTTGTATACTTACCTGAAATTAAAGAGCTGTACAAAACTGGAGGAAATTGAGAAATTAAAAAGAAAATAAAAAAGAAAAAAGAAAATAAATAAAAAAAAAGAAATAAGAGAGAGAAAGAAGAGAGACGGAATAGGAGCAGAGAAAATGGTAGGTCAGTAGGCAGAGAGGAAAGAAAGGTGTTAGTGGAAGGACTTCATCGGAATTTATACACATGTGACATAAATTGCGTGAGGGCCCACTTTCTTTTTTATATTTTATTATTGTTAATCAACTCAAAATAGGGTGGACTTTGACGTTTCATATTATTTTTTTTTTTTTTGAATAAAATAGATTATATTAGGCAACATAAGCCAACTGAAGGGGGAGGGAGCTACCCTCAGACATAGCGAGATTCATGGATGAAGCCAATCCATGTGCTAGCTTATTACAGATACGTGGAACAAATAAGAATTGGCAAGAAACAAAAGACAATGCCAGAGAACGAATATCATCTGAGAAAGCACCAAACGAACATAAGGAAGATT